GGAAACACCGGGTGGTCCCCGCTCCCGTTGTGGGCCCATGTGCATTTCACTGTTCACGTAAAAGTAATAACCAAAATTTACGATCTCGTAAATTCATTAACCATTTCTCAAAATTCAATACATAATTTATCTAAAAATAATATATTTGGGGACAATTTTATATAATTGCTCCCACAAAGTCAACCTCAACCGTTTGCAGTGGCGGAGCCATGATCTAGAGTCAGTGGTGTCAATTGAGAAAATAATTATTCTATCAAAATGTGTAAATATTATAAAGAAAAATAACAAAAATTGTCATTTATAAAATTGAAATGCTAATTCGAAATTGTGTGCGCCGCATTTTCATATTTTAAAAACGTTATACATTTTTTTCTATCAAGTGTCGATCAATTGATTCAAACTTTTTTTGGATTATCCCAAAATATGTGTCATGTTTCTTCTTTTAAAAAATGTGTGGTCTATAACATTTCATTTTATTATACTCAAACTTGATTAACACTATTAGTTTTTCAATCAGTTTATTATAATTGTGTCTGTTGGGTAAATGGCCCAAACAGGGGTTCGGCCCAATCACCCCCAAACCGTTGTACGTCGCCTAACCCACGGGTGACCTTAGCCCAGTGGAGATAGGACGAACGTCGGTGTCCCAGATAGCCGCACATAGTCCCTGCCGAGGGTCAATTGACAGACTCCCGACGAACGTCGTCAGCCGAGGCTCATCTCCGTAGATGGCCCAAATCCAGAAGATCGTTTCACTCTATCAAGGGCCGCAGACGAGCGGCCCCCAGCCTTCCACTGCCTGCTGAGAGTTGCCCTCAGTTCTACCAGACGATCATGGTCAGGAATTAGGCGGGGAACCCAGATTCTGGCGGGAAGCGCATTTAATGCTGGAGATTTGGTGGTTGGACCACAGCCACTAACAATCCTCCACGTCATCAGGACTAACTGCCCATGGGCGGGTATAAATAGTAGCATTTATTTCATTGTAAAGGGTTGGCAACTTTCTATTCTCAGCATCCTAGCTTTAGCATTCTTACTTGCAGCATTCCTACTGCCTTGTAAGACGAACGGCCGACGTGCCTTTTTAGCAAGTAGATTGTACTTAGAGGAGTTATTACGAAGTTAATAATACCTATTTACATTGCCTGCTATTTTCCTCTGTTTTCCTGATCCATCCGATAGTTGTTGGGCTAGATATTCATACACTCACTCCACTCGAAATCTTTGGGCTTACATGTTGGGCCCGAGGGTTGAAGGAATAAACCTCAACACTGGCGCCGTCTGTGGGAAACTGAACAAAAAGTTTCCAGAAACTCTCCCAAACAGCTACTAAATCTACCTACAGCAAGCACGATGTCAGGAAGCAACAACCAGCGTGACCTCTCCGAGCGTCTGGAGTCAAGCCGCCGGAATCGCGGCCAGAACTCGGAGCTGTCTGCGACAATATGGACCTCCGGGGGAAACAAGGGTATCATTGACCTCATTCCCCTGGAGGCCAGGCAGGACCCCCGCCTCATGCGGGAACTCGCTGACACCATGCGCCGTTTGGCAGACGAACGGGAGGCTCAGGAGCAGGTGTACTCTGCAAGCACCCAGCGAACACCCCTCTCTCCCATCCGCCGTATGCAGTCGTACGATGATACGACAGGGTCCAGCGACCACCGACCCTCGGTCCATGAGCGGCTAGGTGGAGGTTCAGGCTCCCGTGGAACGGGAGGGCGAACCAAAATCAGCATCGCTGCACTCAGGGCGCACACGCCATCAGTTCCCCGCCAAGTCTCGCGAGGGGACGAAACCCCAAGGATCAACACCGTTGGACGATGTTTCCAGCGACGAGGTGCGCAAATCCTTAGGTGGCCGCACGGAGCTATGGCTGCTCAGCAAAACGCTGTCCTCGAGGCCGTGCCCCCTGTGTCCCCCGGAAGGGCCGCGCAGGATGCAAGGTTGGAAGCAATGGAGCGGCAGATAGCCGAGGCCCATCTCCGTAGATGGCCCAAATCCAGAAGATCGTTTCACTCTATCAAGGGCCGCAGACGAGCGGCCCCCAGCCTTCCACTGCCTGCTGAAAGTTGCCCTCAGTTCTACCAGACGATCATGGTCAGGAATTAGGCGGGGAACCCAGATTCTGGCGGGAAGCGCATTTAATGTTGGAGATTTGGTGGTTGGACCACAGCCACTAACAATCCTCCACGTCATCAGGACTAACTGCCCATTGGCGGGTATAAATAGTACTTCCTCCGTCCCCTTAAGTTTGTCCCGTTTTACCTTTTTCGTCCGTCCCACTAAGTTTGTCCCATACCATATTTGGTAACATTTGAGTGGTTAGAATTCATTCTTACTTTATTTATACTTTATCAATTCAATACCAACCACACAATTCCACTTTTTCTTAAAAACCACACCACACCCCTCCGTCCCAAACTTAGGGGGACGGAGGGAGTAGCATTTATTTCATTGTAAAGGGTTGGCAACTTTCTATTCTCAGCATCTTAGCTTTAGCATTCTTACTTGCAGCATTCCTACTGCCTTGTAAGACGAACGGCCGACGTGGCTTTTTAGCAAGTAGATTGTACTTAGGGGAGTTATTACGAAGTTAATAATACCTATTTACATTGCCTGCTATTTTCCTCTGTTTTCCTGATCCATCCGATAGTTGTTGGGCTAGATATTCATACACTCACTCCACTCGAAATCTTTGGGCTTACATGTTGGGCCCGAGGGTTGAAGGAACAAACCTCAACAGTGTCAAACCAAAACAAGACACATAAACTGGGATAGAGGTAGTAGTAAACTAGCAATAAGTAAAACTGTACACTTTTCAATTATTTTTAAGTTAGTGCTCCAACTTTTAAAATATATGGAAAATGGAAACTAATAATCCAACCTTTTAACAGTCTTCTTACAATAGTACCACATGTCCGTTATTCAAGAATAATCCAACCTTTGCACCCCATCTTCATTTGATGGTCCCTGACCGGTTAATGACCTGTCATTCCAAGTTAGTTTCTTATCTTTGCAAAATATTATCTTTGTGAAATGTGAGATTTATGGTATAATGGTTTGTGAAGGTAAGAAAATAACTTAGGATAGCATGTCATCAACCGGTCAGGGACCAGTGAATGAATATGAGGTGCAAAGGTTGGATTATTCATGAATAATGAAAAAGTGGGACTAATGTAAGAAGACCGCTAAAAGGTTGGATTATTAGTTCTCATTTTCCCTAAAATATATACATCGACCTCCATTTTTTAAATGATTGTGTCAAATTTTAATTTTTGAATGATTATATATTTATACTTCAGAGGAATGCTCAGGTTCTGCCGACGGGACGGAAGCCACCGTCCTAACTCAGCCGTTTGGGGCGGTTTCCCGTTGAATTTTTTGATGAAATTTTTTTAGCATGTTCCTCATCAAGTCTAGTGTGTCCATACCAAATTTCAGCTTAACATTCGACCGAGAAGGCATCCAAATAATTTTTTGAAGTTGACTGCGCCAAAATATACATATAAAAACGCAGTCACCTTCAAAAAATGATTTGAATGCCTTCCCGATCGAATTTTGAACTGAAATTTGGTATGCACAAACTAGACTTGATGAGTACCATGTTAAAAAAAATCATCAAAATAGATAAATTTCATCGGATTGCGGCTGGACATTGGAGGGCTGGACCTGAGCATTTCTGTTATACTTCGTATATTGTTTTTTTAGAAAATTCTCTAAATAGGACCAAAACATAGATAAAATTTATAAATAGGAATATCAATGTTTTATTAGGACCCATTCACTCCTATTTTGGAAATTTTAATCATGTTATTCTTTTGATAGAACTAAATAAACCCTATTTGGAGAATAAAACACAATCATTCCTATTTGTTTTACTTTGTGTATGTTTTAGTCTTATATTAAACAATTTTTATTTTTCCCAATGGTGTCAACTTTAATTTTTTGAAAAATTATATATACCTATATACTCCGTATGAAAGAAAAAAAGTTGAGTGGTGTCATTGACACCACAACTCATAGGCTCCACCACTGAGTGTTTGTATTTATGGCTCTGATCCGAGCTAAACCGTGAGGGTAACTACTCCCTCAAAGCTCAACTGTTTACCAGCTTTATACTAACAGAAAATGTTACCTCATATATACTTCATTAAATAAAGAGAAAAGGTACATATATACCCCTGTGGTATAGGTGGAGGAACAAATATACCTCTGTTCTATTTTTCGGAACAAATATACTCTGAACTTTTAAAAAGGTGCAAAAATATCCCTCTTTTTTATATAGGAGCAAATTAATCCTTATTGACTTTAAATTAATAAAATAAATTTCAAAAAAGACCAAAAAAAATAATAAATCAAAATTAAAAAATAAAAATTTTAAAAATGTAATTGTGTCCATTTCTCCCTTTATTGTTTTTATATCATAATTTAATATTTTTATAAAATATTATTTCAAAATATGTAATTTTATAGTGCAAAGAATGCAAAAAATTAATTTTTCTCTACATTACAAAACATATGTTGCACCTTTTCGAAAGAATCTTAAATATATAGTAAAATTTTGAATTGATTTAGTTCATGCTTAAACAATATTTAATTGTGATATAAAAACTATAAAAGGGAGAATTAGACACTATTTCATTTAAAAAATTGTTTTTAAATTTTGAATTTATAATTTATTTTTGGTGTTTTTTGAAATTTATTTATTAATTTAAAGTCAATAAGGATTGATTTGCCCCTTTATAAGAACATGAGTGATATTTTTGCACATTTTTAAAAGTTTAGGGGTATATTTATTCCGAAAAATAGAACGAGAGTATATCTGTTCTCACACCCATACTACAGGGGTATATTTGTACCTTTTCCCTTAAATAAATTAAATGCTATTAACTTCATGTGACCTATTTTTCAAGATTATATTCTCTCAAAAAAAGATTATATAGCTACTTTTCTCAATAAGGATGTTTTACACATTTACTTAAACTCTTTTCAATCCCAAACCACAATATATAAAACTAGATTTGGACCAGCCCAGTTGAAACCAGAATAGATAAAATCAGATTTGGACCAGCCCAGTTGAAACCAGATCAGACTAGAATTAACACAGTATAATTCTAATAGCAAATGCCACATTGACAAGAACTACATGATATTTTCCAAATTCTACCCTAAAATAATTTAGTCTTAGCTAAAATACTCACGAAACACGTTCATATGAGTTGGTACAGTTAAAAATGTATTAAAATTACGAAATGTAGAGTAAAAAGCCTACTAGGCATTCATCACATTGATCACACTAGCCATGTCAAGTTCTTCACTACACGTACGTAACACCGGCCATACATATTCTGGTTATCACCAATCTCGCAGACGTGGAACAACTGCTAAAGACAAATAGAAGAAAATAAGAAAAGTATGTGTCAATTCAAGAATAAGGGCTCCCAAGTCCCAATGGCTGGGACAATAGTATGTGTCACGAACAAGTTTCCAAATTTAAGAATATAATAAGAAAATATTACAAATAAAGACTCGCTCACATGAATAACCAACATGTGATATTAGCTCATTAAACTAATCCTCTTTTTCTTGGATTTTTTGGATTAACCAATTTGCCCCTTCGTCTCAATATGTCTGGCCAGAACAGAAAAATGATACAAACCGAAATTTATTGGCATGAAAGGATAATGAAGATTACTTCGACACCAACGAAAAAGGAAAGCATGAAAATTATTATGGGCCGGAGGGAGAATGTAAAAATATACGAAAAGGATGGCTTATTACTAGGTACATTTCAATAATGATTGAGTGATAGATCTCTCATATTCGATGCCATGAGAAATATTTTATTCAATATAAAAAGTTCACTGAAATGGGAAACAACATAACGCATTAGTTTCTAACAATATTTCAAGCTTTCGAGCAAAAAATCAATATTTCAAGCTTATGCATATCTCCTTTGAAGATGTTATGTTTGTTTTGACATAATAATAACAATAAAAACAACAATAACAAATATAATAATAATAATAATAATAATAATAATAATAATATTATTATTGTTGTTGTTGTTGTTATGATATGCTCGTAACAAGTATAGAAGCTATAGTATACTAATAGTCTAATAATAACATAAAATAGATCAGAGGCAAAATTATCTAAAGATATGATAGATTTTTTTTTCAAAATTTATAAAGGAAAGGTACCTCTATTCCCAGATGCATCCCTGCAAAATCCCAGCTTCAGGTAATGTTTTGACATGTGGTCAAACACTTGAGCATAGAAAGTAACCTCTTTGTTGCTTGACATAGTATCTTCGGCTTTGAAAGTAATATAGTATGTTTGAGCAGGTGATGTTGCACTCTTGATAGCATCCACTATTTCCTTGAATTGGAGGGTAGGCTTTGATTCCTGGTCAATTTCACAAGTGTAAATTTAACACACCATCATATCTATCTTTAGAAAGACTATCAAAACCAAGTACCTCCTTTGCAGTATAATGAAATAAGGCATATTTAGCACAAAACTCGACTCTTCGGAATTCTTCTTTCTTCCTAAGATCTACTGGGTAAAGGGTGCCGGCGAACACAAGCAGCGGTAAAGACTACGAATAGGCAAGCAAGAAGGTAAAACAAACACAACATCAGCATTGCTAGGAAAAAAGAAGAATTAGATAAGCAAGGTAAAACTAATTCACGTGCTTTGCTTTTTTTCATTTGTTCAAAATGGGGATTGAAGCGCTCCTTGAGTTCAACATCCTCGAACTGAATCACATCGTCCTCTGATTGTACGTATTTCGTTTCTTCAGAATCATAATTATACATCATCCATCTCGGAATAACTGCAAAGAAAAAAAATCGTTACCATTTACTAAAAACTTATCCAAAGCAAATCATTCAAAATGAACTAGTATATCTTCAATTTAAAGAGATTGCAATCAGCTAATCTGAATCAACATATGACATCAAAGTTAAAAAATTCTACCTCCATCCAAAATTCATTTGCAATGTCAATTTTTTTTGGTCAAACATTTAATTTTATTCACTTAATTAGGATACATATTTTTAATTATATTCTAATTTGGATTTTACAACTTTATAGAAATCCTAATGTAGTTTTTAAATATGTAAATTTTATTTATTAAAAATTGAATTGATTATCAACAAGGAAGGTTTAACTTTAGGAAAAAATCACATAAATAATTCAACTATTAAAGCTCTTCTAATATTAATCCTAAATATATGTAATTCTGAAATAATCTCAAATTTACAAGTAGTCTTCCCATATTGATCCAGGTTACCTGTGACCTATTAAACAGGTAAATAAAAATAAAAAATAAAAAAAATGAATAACCGTTGTGTATTAATGATCAAAAACATTTTGTCTTAATGATCACAAACATTGTGTCGTAATGATAATATATAGTAACGGTTGTAACTGATGAGAATTAATTGTCTCCTACACGCCCCTGCAAGCTAGGTATTCAATCACCCTCAATCACCCTCAGTTCGGTGTGAATATCATCTAGTTGATGACGAGATGGGATGTGATGAACTCAAAGAAGCCCACATTAGAAGCGTTGACGGACAAAAGAAAGGGTCTATCAAGATTCACCTACGCAGTGGCAGTAAGGGATCCCATCCCCAGCCACCGTCTCCAATCTGAACCCCGTCTCCTTCTTTGCCGTTGACTTACAGAGTCTACAAGCCAAGTCCAGGCGATCCAAAGGTTTCCTAATCAGCCAAGTTCATACATATAAACTGCCCAATTAACTTCAAGAAATTATTTGAGTGCCTTCCCGATTGAATTTTTAGCTGAAATTTGGTATGGATAAACTATGAAGAACATGCTCAAAAAATTTCATCAAAAAATTCCACCGGGAAGTGCCCGAAATGCCCTCGGCCGGACAGAGCATCCCGTCAGGCCGGCCAGACATGAAGACTACTATATATATATATAGGGAGCGGTTCCGGTAAGAACGGATCTTAGGAGCGAAATGAAAACGAATCTGGAGCGTTGGATTGAATTATGTGAAACTGAATTGTGCATTTGATGAAACCGAAAAGTGCATTAGATGATATTAAAATGTGCAGAATAAAAATTTAAACTCACATTTGCATTAGGTGAAACTGAAATGTGCAGAATAAAAGGTACAAAAATAACATCACATCGTACCTTTTATTCTGCACATTTTAGTTTCATCTCGTGCACATTTCAAATTCAACTAATGCACAATTTAGTTTCACATAATGCCACTACATTATACCCTTTGTGCTGCACATTTCAATTTCACCTAATGCACATTACAACTTCATCTAATGCACATTGAATTTCACATAAAGCAAATCTAACGGTCCAAATTCATTCTCATTTTTCTCATAAGATATGTTCTTATTTGAACCAAAACCTGTCCGGCCTCCTCCATTTGGGGGCCTTCCCGGTGATATTTTTTGCTCAAATTTTTTGTGTATGTTCCTCATCAAGTCTAGTTTATCCATACCAAATTTGAGCCAAATATTCCGGACCAGTTAACTTGCAAAAATCATTGATAACCTTCTCGATTGAATTTTTGGCTCAAATTTGGTATGGATGAACTAGATTTGATGAAGAACATACACAAAAAATTTGAGGAAAAAATACCACCGGGAAGGCCCCCAAATGGAGGAGGCCGGACGGCGCTCCGGTCAGGAAATTCCTGACCGGAAGATTACTCTCTCTATATATACATATGTGTATGTATATTAAGCATCTGGCACCAGGCGCAGCGCACAACAGCCTAGCGATTGGACAATGGCCGGGCACAGCATCCTGTGTAAGGCGCATAAGTGCTGAATCACTTAGGCGCTAAAAGATGCTCGCTTTTCTCGCCTAACGGAGGAACACGTTCAAGCTTAGTATTTAAGTTTCATTTAAGTTTCAAACTATTTTACATATAAAGCCCATATTTTAATAAGATAATAGCCCATCTAAATAAGTTTAAAACAACTTAAACCTACGCTAAACAACACAAATCAGAGTGTGCTACCTCAGCATACACCTCTGCTCTACTCACATCTCACTGTTGCTTACCTCTACATCAACCGCAGAAGCTTGTAGCGCTCAATGATCAATAACAGCAAGTTTTCTTATCCTTCATCCTGCCATTTTTTTCTTTTTTCTTTTTTTCAGAATTTAATTCTTCCTATATACTTTATACAACACACACACACACACACATATATATATATATATATATATGTAAACTACCAGTATAATGGTCTATCACGTGCAACACTCTTTATTGTTCCATTTTCTTTCTTCTTTCTTTTTTTCAGCAACTCCCTTCTTTTATGTACTCAATAGTCTATACAACTCAAGCGGATAATTTTCAGTTAAGTACTTTAGAACTCAAATGGCGTAAGATGAAGAATGTTTGAAATTCTGAATTCAATTGTTTTGTTTTTGAGAACCATGACTTTGTTTTTTTGAATCATGACTTTTTTTAGAAACATGACTTTTTATTGAAATTGGTTCAATATGATGTTATATGCAACATGTTTGATAATTGCAGAATACAGAATAGTATATATGATAGTATCTAAGCAATGTGGCTAAAATGAGTTAGGCGAGCGCATTTTTGCATCTTGCACCTCAGGTAATGGGAATACTCTTATCGCTTGAGTGCACCTCGCCACTTTAACTACATTGCATACGCCTCATTGCGCAATGAGGCTTACACAATTCGCAATCATAAAAAAATGCCACGACTACGCGATACACAATTGCGTACCTTGCATATATTTCAATGATATTGAAGAGGCATACATGGTCTTTCAAATAATAAACGATTCCTATACATTCTAGATATTACGGACAATTTTTCACCAACAATTCGAGAGGTCGAATTATATAATTTTGAATGAAAAAAGTACATCAAACAATTGAATATACAAATTGTTAAAAATGCATATAAACAAATTAAATGCACGCAGAAAAAACATTAACACAAACTATGAAACTAAAATAATGATGAAAAATCAACTCTACACTCTACGAAGAATATACGTAGTAAACTATGAGTTTAAAGAATGTAGTTGAAAATTACCAAAAGCTCATGATTTCTACTCCATTATAAATTAAGTGGTTGGCTTCTCTCAATGCTACCCCAAGTCAATTGGAAGGAGGTGTTCATAATTTTTGTAAAATCAAATCCTAGAACAAATGGTTATTGTAACACGAAAATGCATCTAACATGATACAATCAAAGTTGTGTGCCCATTCCGGATTGTAAACGCAAATCTAGTACGCCCTCCGTCCCATTTTAAGGTTCCCGTGACAAAATGGCACGATTATTAAGACAATAATTAAATATGCTAATTCGAATATATTTTGAGAATTTTTGTATGAGTATATAATATAATGGGTTATTATTGTTTCCTAAAATAGAAAGTGAGAACCTTTAAGTGGGACGTCCAAAAAAGAAAAGTTGGAACCTTTAAATGGGACGGAGTATCTGTTAACCATTAAACAAGACACCTAAAACTATTAAAACTGAACTGAACAAATATTTCCATAAAACACAATTGAATACTATACCTTTTTTGTCAGATCCACGTTCTCTGCAAAACTCAACCTGCATGAGATATTCTAATATTAAGTCTTGCATTTTAGCTTCATAGGTGAACACCACTCCATTCCTATCTTCAGCTTGGAATGTCATGAATATTGCACGGCAGGGGTCTGGAGTTGTAGCAACCCGCACTACTTCCTTTAGTTGGAGGCACTTAGACGGATCCTGATTGACAAAGATCTACAATTTGGAAATAGATAAACGAATGGCCACAAATTTCATCATAACCACAAAGTATTCATCGACAGAAGTACCTGTTCATTCATGATAAATATAGCATAATTGGCCCAAAACTCCATCCTCTGCTTGTTCTTTTCATGTAGTAAATTGAAAGGATACAGCCTCGAAAAGTAAATCACTTTTGGTTCATGAATGTCAAAACACTGAGGAGATAAAAACACAAACAATAGTTAATCAAGCTTAAAGGGAGAAAAAACAATACGTTATAATGTTATTTACTTCGGATTCCCTATCCTTATAAACAGGGTGCTCATCTGACTCCGAATCTGTATCGTCAAGCGAATCATGCTCGGAGTCGCTATCAGTATTTTCTGCGTCAACCTTCGTTTTTTTGCAAGGCGATTCGCGGACATAATCATTTTCAGACTCACTCAAACTCTTTTTAGCTTCAAAATTGGAGTTATCAAGAGGCAATATGCTGATCTCTGGAGGCTCGAAAGAGAAATCCGTAGACATGGTTCGAACTGCTCTCAATTTTCTTGACCTAGAACACGGCAGATCGAACACAAGACCTAGATGGCTATTCGTTTTGCGGTAAACAAAACGAAACAACGACAGCTTAGGCCTTGGGGGGGATTTTTATTATAGAAAAGGGCCGAAAAGGTTATTTTGAACGCCTCCGCGCGCCACTTAAGTTTCTATGCGCGCCCATCCCTTACTCTATAGGAAAGCGGATACCTATGACAATTACGGTTTTGCCCTAATAATAATATAATATTCGTCGTGTCATCGGGACCTGGTGCTTCTCATCGGGGGCTGCTGGTCGTTGTGGGCAGAGAGAAATCATTTGGCAGGGGACCAGGTTGCTTACCGAGGACGGGGGCTGATTGAGGGCTGGCAGCAGGCGCAACAGCAAACCGGCAGGGGAAGAAGGGTGTTTGACAGTTCGCAGGCGCGTAATACTTGGAACAAACCGGAACTAGGTAGGTGGAAGCTGAATGTGGATGCAGAGACGAGGACATACAGGTGCGGGCTAGGGTGGTGCTTGAGGAACTCGGATGGACAGTTTGTGGCAGGCAGGGGCGGAGCCAGGACACCGGGCCGGACTGGGCCGATACAAAGAATATTTTTGAAAAAAAATTTACACGGATTTTTTTACACTAAAAATTTAGACCTTTTTAAAATTTGGGCTGGGCCAGGGCCAAGGTTGGCCCTCCCCTAGCTCCGCCCCTGGTGGCAGGGGTATCAAACCCGTGGACAGGAGTAATGTCAGTGTTGGGTGCCGAGCTCGTGGGTATCAGGGAGGCGTTGAGCTGGTTGAAGGAGTTAGGTATCACCTTTGTTGAAGCTGAATCTGATGCGCGGGGCAATTGCGGAGATCCAAGGAGGTTCTAGTTGCTCTTTGGTGGGACTTCTAAGAGACGACATTATAGATATAGCGGATTCATTTTAGTTCATTTCATTTTGTCATGTGAGGCGATCAACGAATAAGCCAGCCCATATGTTAGCTAGGGCGGCTTGTTCTGTGTCTGGTTTGTAGTCTTGGATTGATTTTCTTCCTGATTTTATTGTATCGGCTTTGACCAACGATTTGATTAATATTTATTAAATATCTTTCTTTCAAAAAAAATATTCATCGTGTCATCCTCTCCCGTTTTTGCGCTTTTTCCCTTTGCCGCTATTGTCTCCTCAAGGCATCAGGTTGACGTGTCATCGAAGTCGCTGCTTTCGGTGACTCTCCTTAGAGCATCCGCAGTTGCACATCGTTAACATTAAAAAAAATTGACATGTCATCCTTCGTTAACATTATGGTGATCTTTTAATCTCTAATGCACTATGTTAATCCTCATGTCATCCTTCAACCACATTTATGTATGAACAGAATCAACGAATTAAGAAGGCGGCGGCGGCGGGGGTTTGTGGGCAATGACACAAACGCACTGGGTTTGGCGGATGTTGTCGAAGCCGATGAGACGGATCCAGGAGTTGGGGTACGCCTTCTTGCACTCCTCCAGCTCCGCCAACACCTGCGCCGCGTCCGTGCACCCGAACATCGGCAGCTTCCACAGCGTCCAGTATCTACCGTCGTAGTACCCCGGTGACCGGTGGCTTTCGCGGTACACGAATGCCTTCTGTGCTCCGTCCATGTCATTCATTTGAGGGTTAAATAATTCGTTAGCAATAATCACACAAATATAACTTCTACGCAGTAATTTCTTGATCACAAATAAATGAAGAACTTGTTAAAAACCATGGGTAAAATATGAATGAAGTTCTAACATATTCTAACATCAGAAAAGACCCTGTCCAGCCCCTCCTGTCCGAACCGCCGTCTCAACTCTTCTGTTTGGAGTGGTTCCCGGTGAAATTTTTCGATGAATTTTTTTTACCATATTTCTCATCAAGTCTAGTTTGTTTATACCAAATTTCAGCTCAAAATTCGATCGGGAAGGCATTCAAATCATTTTTTGAAGTTGACTGCGTTTTTATATGTATATTTTGACGCAGTCAACTTCAAAAAATGATTTGAATGCCTTCCTGATCGAATTTTAAGCTGAAATTTGGTATGGACAAACTAGACTTGATGAGGAACATGCTCAAAAAATTTCATCAAAAAATTCCACTGGAAAGTGGCCCAAACGTCCATGTTCGGACGGTGCTCGGACGGGGAATGTTCGGACCTGAACATTCCTCTATATATATATCCATACGTGCTCGGTGCTCTATGGTCTCCAGGCTTATTGTTTGATAATAAAGCAAATCAACTCATGTTTGAGAATACTAGATTCTCACCCGTGCGATGCACGGGACAAAATATAATTAAATCATATAAAGTTTTGTTTATATCAACGATGAGCAATAAAATTCAAAATTGACAAAATTATAATGTATTCCGTATAAAAGAATGAAAAGAGGACGGAGTTAGAGAATAATACTCCATCCGTTCCAATAATACTTCTCACTTGGATTTGATATGGATATTAAGAAAGTGAGAATAAAGTGGAAATGTATAATTGTGATTGAGTAAGGCTTTTGCGGAAAGTACCTGGATAGTACCTTTCGAGGAAAGCTTTCTTCATGGCCGCCCATGTATCTATACTTCCCGAAGGAAGATAGAATAGCCAATCTTTTGCGGTATCTTTGAGGGAGAATGGAAAGGCCCTCAACTTTATCTGTTCCTCGGTGACTCCATTAGGGCACATGCTCGTGCAAACAACATGGAATTCCGAGAGATGTTTATTTGGGTCTTCTCCTCTTAAGCCATGGAAGGATGGCAAAAGATGAATGAGCCCTGATTTGAGCTCAAATGTATTACCCTCGTTGAGTGTAGGGAAGGTAATACACAACGGTTGTTGGTTCAAGTTCGGAGCTGTGAGCTCCCTCAAAGTTCTTGTTTCAAGAGCCATAGTTATTGGCTCTTCGTTCTCGCTAGAACAAGAACTAGTGCTTGATGATTCCTCCGAAGAAGTATTCGGAAATAAGTTCCTAAACCTCTCGAAGGCTTGTTCCGATTCGGGATTTGTTTGGTAGGTGATTTGGTTTATAGATCGGTGTTTAACCATATACTCAAACAAAGCTCAGAAATAGGAAATAAGAACTCTTTATATTTTTATTTAATTAAATTTTTATTGATTTTTCTTGAAATAAAATAAAAAGAAAAATAATTGCCTTTCCCCGGCAACGGCGCCAAATTTGACGTGCACTTTGTCGTGATGTGCACTCAAAATAATAATCAATACGACAATTATACGTAGTATAACGAAGTAAGGTTCGTATCCACAGGGAAAGGAATACTTCTCTCTTTATAAACTAGTAACAAGGGGGGTTTAGGTTGAGTATATGAACTTAAATTGTATTTAAACACGAAGATGAACGAGTTATGTGGTTTAATTAATGAGAAGAAGACTTGGCTTTGCTTTTATCCACTTAATGAAATGTTCGTCGATCCCGGTTATATCTTAAACTGTCTTCCTCTCGAATACTCAATCGAGGAGTATATCCAAGTCATCGAGGGTAGTTATTAATAACGAGAAGCGTTCATTAATAAAACTTACTACCGAGTCAATATAGAACAAGCGCCGTATATTAACTTGATAGTAGCAATAAAATCAAGATGAAAACGATTGAGATTGATAACCTCAACACAAGCGGTTTATTGGTTTAATCAATATAATTAATTCCCCTTGGCTTATTAACCATGAGAAGCATGCATTAACAACCCAAGTTTACTACCGTGAAAGGGCCGAATTAATAACAAGCGTATTAACCGACCGATTCTAGTAATAATTAATATATAGAACAAGACTAGTTGATACTTTAAGTAATGTTCAACATATTAATATGAAATATGAATAGGAATTAATTAATACTCAAGGAAGAAGATTAAAGATAATAACTCACAACTTACAAATTCATTAAGCTTCAAAAGAGCAAAACCAAGATGGAAGAGTTTAGCTCCTCATTTGGAGACTAAACATGATGAAAAATATAAAGAAAGAACTTGTCTAAACTGAGCTAAGAAGTATATGTGAATTGGTAAGATTGTTGTGAAGGAAAGGATGTGTATTTATAGGCTTTTTTGGGGTGCAGGTCGGGTACTCGATCGAGTATATATATGTACTCGATCGAGTATGTGCAGAAAGCTGAATTCGATCCATACTCGATCGAATTTATAGTAGAATTCATAGCTATACCCGATCGAGTATGTCGGTGTACCCGATCGGGTATAGACACTCGATCGTGGGAAGATCTTCCTCCGCATGTTCCTTTGTTTTCGGATCCGATCCGATTTGAAATTTCAACCAGATACTCGATCGAGTATAGGAGGTACTCGACCGAGTATAGACAAAAATCAGGATTTCCTTCTTTTGTCTTGTGATTTTGCACCTTCCTTCCATTTTTTGGGTTTCACCAACTGTCCTTGAGTGATGTCAGACCTGTTTGAGCTCAGAATAAACCTAATCTAAACAATTTACAAGAATTTGACAAACTAAACTATTACACCGAAAGTGTGTAATTTCCGAAATACTTAAACAACCAAAACTAACTAAAAATGTAATTAAACACACGGAAATTACAAACGTATCAACTCCCCCACACTTAGTTCTTTACTCGTCCTCGAGTAAAGTTCAATGTTTACAAGTGTAAAGATTCCCAGAGTTTCAAAAGTTTTTAACAAGATAAGAACACAAAGACCACCAAGGATAAAATATGAGTTTTAATGCTTAAATTACAAATGTCATCTTGGGTTTTATGGTCTTCTAGTGTTCATCTTTTCTTCCTCTTCTCCTTTTTCTTCTTCTTCTTCTCCTTTTTCTTCCAGGAGATCAAATGAGTTCCTGCACACAGAAAAATATTCCTCTCATATCTCTCATTTTGCCTAGGAGCCTTTTCAGGTTTTCATCCCAGCATCTCTTTGTGTTTTTCCATCCTCCCCAACTCACTCATTTTTTTTTATAAGCCATTTTTGCTTAGATTGCCCATTCTTGGGTTTTCAACCTAACTAGCATTTCAATTCTTTTATTTATCCATTTTTTTTTTTTTTTTTGACTTGTTTACAAAGAGTACAAGAAATTCATGCATAGTAAAAGGTAGAAAATGAAATTTCATACCATGAGTAATCTTCTCCCCCACACTTAGTTG